GGGGAGTTAACAGTGTTAAGTTTCTCGAATTTCTCAAATGAAACATTTTTATGAATTTTTCACATTACTTTCATTCTATTATCTTGCTTGTTTACACTCAAACATAATAGACGTAACAGTCTTATCAAAATAAACGAATGAGATACATTTACCTAACAAAACCAATATAAAAATTCACACACTATCAGTATAATAATATGGTTTTCATGACTAAAATCAGTCAAGGACATGTATAAATGCTTGAGAGGAAACACTTTACGTAATTTACAGAATCTTAGTAAGAAAATAGTTTGTTCATGCAGCGAACAAAGTGCACGTTAGAAAATATGGAAAAGTGAAGTGAATTAAGGTCTTACTTGAGAGTTGTCTCGTCCATGAATTGAGAGGTGATTTTGACCATCATAGGTGAGATAAAAATGAAGGTTTGAGTTAGATGTGTTGTCCTTCTGATAAATTGGTTCCAACTGACCAGGAGACATCATTTTTGGCGCCTCTAGAAAGATTGTCACGTACAAAGTTCTTGCCATTTGACACAAGCAAAAATTCTAAGCAGCAGACAACGAACTTTTTTAATGCAAGTCTTAAATTGCTTTCATAACTGCACCTCCTAGCTCGATTTTATATTCTACAGCCGTTACAATCCACCACGTGCATCAGAAATAAATTATTAGCCAACGACATCTGATGTCGCATCTTTTATCCTTGGGAAAATCCCATCTAAAAAAAAAAAAACAAAAAAAAACAGTTCCATTTTTTCTTAATTTCTTTAGGGTAGGTGCAGTTTGCATAAATTTCTACTATTTCATAAGTAAGAGTGACGTCTAGGGACACCTACACTCTCATAATTATTAGATCACCCATTCCCTAGATAAATGAATGGTGTCCTCACTGGGTGGCCTAGAATTTCCAAATTAAGTTAACCTCTTCCAGATGTCATCAGTTCGCAAGTAGGCATCTACGCAAACGACACTACCATTTACTCTTGTTTCAATAGTAAATCCGGCATTGCTGGCAAAGTTAACTTGGCCGTTGGTCCCGAAAAGGACCTTTAATCTGTGGTTGACTGGTGTAGGAAATGGCTTGTAAATTTTAATACCTCCAAAAATAAAACTTCTCTCATTTACCTATCATAGGGAAACCTCCCTGCCTCCTATCAACATGGCTGATGCTCAACTTCACGAGAGCGTCCCTCTGCGCCTTTTTGGTTTCACGTTTTCCACTTACATCAGGTGAAACAACTACATTGAATCAATAGCTTCATCTACCGCAAGGAAAGTTGGTTCTCTGTGTCTCTGGTGCCCCCGTTGTTCATCTCGAGCTCCTCAACAAAATCCAAATACGGATATGCAATGTGATAGGTCCTGATCTGGCATCTCGACCCCAGTCACTTTCTCACCGACGTAATGTGACTTCTGCTCTGACGAGCTACTTTCACTGGTGCCCCAACTGCATGAATTTAGGCGTGCTACTAGGTTGGCATCTCGGTCCCACCCTCTTACTATCGAAACCGCCTCTTCTACTCGAACAGCTTCCTCTCACGTACTTCCCGACAGTGGAACTCCCTTCCTCTTACTTGCTTCTCTGATAACTATAATCTTCAAAAATGTAAATGTAATGTCAATCGACATCTTCTGATGCCTTGATCTTGCTCCCCGTCCTTCTCTTTATCCTTTCCTCAAGCACCCCTCTTTACTCATATTTTACTCTCTGTAAACCTTTGCGTACTAATGACACTTTCTCCTGATAATCAGAATTGCATTAACATAAATTAGATATTTAACGATTGTCATAGTAATAGCGCAAAACGTGAAAATTGGAGACATTTGTAGCAGTTTGCAAACCGCTACAAATGTCTCCAATTCTCATTTATTCTCCATTGATTTATGTAGATACTAAGTTTGACAAAATACTGTAGACGCGGGAGACCACTAATTCTCACGACACAGCGGGGGGGGCTGAGCACATTTCTTTAATGTAGGGAAAAAGCTCTCGAAATGCGGATGGAAGAAGCAGGCTCGTATTGATTTCTGGCTGAAAATGTTTCTGCATAAATAGTACAAATCCTCTTAACAGAACTATCCCAATAGGTCAGCTACGTGCCTTGTCCATTCAAAACGTTGGCGATCATGGCTCTCCACAATTTCATGTCCGTTGTAGATCTTTATAAATTGTCTTATACCTCCAAAACCCTGTGTCGTCATCCATTTACTCAAACTCGCAAGGTAGATTATGCGCTGTTTTCATCTGCCGGCTTGTCTTCAATCTGTCCTGTGACACTCCGAGCCCTCTTTTCTCATTATGTACCCTAGAAATTTCAACTGTCTCTTACTGATGTTAAGTATAAGTGTGCGTTTTGTTTCCATTTTCTCTAAAACTTCGTGGCTATCGGCCACATCACGTGTTGAAACACCGGTTCTCGTACGATCATCAAAGTTAAGCAACTTCGAGCCTGGTCAGCACCTAGATGAGTTACTGCTTGGGAAATACAAGGTGCTGTAAGCTAAGATGTGCCGGTGGTTTAATAGATAATAGTTCGGAATTGTTAATCGGAGAGCCGAATTCCAATTCTCGTTAGGATGATATATCTACTTCCGCGCCTTGGGAAAGACATGAATCCATCTTTTCTTTCCCCAGCTATGGGTTAATTAATAAGACTTGTATCACTAAACTATTATTATCTAAAAAAAAAAAAAATTATTACAATCTAAAAATATTTTCTGGCTTTAAATAACCTGCAAAGGTTTGATAATCCATAGAAAATGAATCAACCAATCAAAAATCAAATTTCTCAATTTCATGCAGGAAGACTGGAAGCAGAAACTAAAATGTCGGGTTTTCCACCCCATTAATTCACTATGAAACAAAAGATCTTCCCCATAACCCACACACATCTCAATATATTCCAAGATATCTCAAGTGAATCCATTATAGTAAAACTACTAATGAACCAGTAAAAAACAAATCAATCTTTTCGTTTACATTTTCTCTAAAACTTCGTTATTGCTCACATGTTCTTTGTATTCTCAGAATCCTTCTGTAGAACCATATTTCTGTTGATTCAAGTGTCTTCTTCATCTATGGAGATTGTTCAGCATTCATTGCCATACAGGAGGACTGATATAACACAGCACAAACATATAGTTCCAAATTACTTTGCTTCAAGAAATGCCATGAAGGTTTTCGATCATCAATAAGTTATAATCTGTCACTGTATGAATGGTAATGAGAATGGTAATAGCCGTTTCCTTATAAGGAAACATTCGACATTCACTGAGTGAGCAACTTGTACTACTTTCGATTGAAATTTATAAAATCTTCTTAAACAATTTTTAGGGAAAATAGTTTTTTTTTCAGTTCAGTAACTGATATCGCTCTTTCCAGATGGTTTCACGGTGGAGTAATGGATAGTGGCTCGTTTTAAGGAATCGGAAAGCCGAGTTCGAATTCCAGTCGAATCCATTACATTCACTTACATGGGAAAGGTATTAATCCTCTTCTTATCCCCCAGCTATGGGTAAATAGCCTTGGATGGCAACTGGTCTACCGCAGAAGAAATGGCAACCTACTGCGGAAAAAAATCTGCCTCGTCAGTCAAGAAAGATCAATGATCGCCTAAGCGTGTATCACGCCTGTCAGATAACTGAAGTGGGTGTGGAATATCAACATCTTGATTATGTCATTATTTTCTCTTCGGGGTAATGTGCTATCTATTTTAGTTGTTGCTATTTTTGAAAGTCCTCAATTGATATAGTTTCTGTTATTTGGTTGAGTTCTTTGTTTGTGGTCGTGTAGCGTCAGTCGACAAACTTCGAAGAAAGATGATCCTCGCTGAAACCCGCAATTTTCATTCGCTCTATGCCATTCTTAACTATTGATCTAATAAAGCTTTTGTACACAGAAGACATTTTCGATATTTCTGAACGACTTTGGCGCCACCCATGCCATGTCTTTATCTTACGAGGCTATTTAAGAATATGACTCCAGTTTTTAGCTCACTGTTTTGGTTTTGTAGCAATTGGCGGTGTTGAGCGAAACTATCTCTGGCTTAGTCTATTCTATGTTCAATATTCTTATCTCCTATACTAAATTTGTCATAACATCCATACACCGATACATTTGGCGTGTTTAGTATTTACTAATTACGAGATTCTGAAATTTTATGGTACCTACAGAGTAGGTTCATAATCAGGAGAAGTGTCCGGTTCGCCGGGCATTGTGCACGTGCCACAGATGAACTTGTGTCATCATTTGTACTCTGGAGGCACCCATCATCTGACAATCGATCACGCAAGTTAACCTTTCCAGATAGGATAAAACGAGACACATTGATCCGTAAGGAAGATCTTTTAGGTGCTATGACAGATAGGGAATACTGGAGAGGTGTAGTGAGTTCAATCTCGGCTGAGGCCGTAAGATGATGATGATGACAGAGTAGGTACCATCACTATTTTCATTACAATCCCAGGTCATAGATTTTGTTTTCGAAAATTTTATTTCGAGTCTTATTTCTTAGAACATTTTATAGAGGATGTTTATTTTTTGTTTAAGATAATTTTCATCCCAACTTTGGATATCTATACCTCAGGAAGAAAAGCGGTTTTCCTCTATTGGTAGATTTGTTTGGAATATAGTATGGAACATTTAAACGATTATTGTTCATCTCTTTACATATGTTTTTGTGAAGACACTGGACATAGTCTGGGAAAAGGTTAAATAGACTGGAGTTCTCATTTCTTTCTTGACTTACTTCTGATGAGATTTGAAATGTTTCCATAATGGGATCCTCGCCTGAGATGTACGATTTTGTGAACCGAAAAGACATTCAGTTGAGTCAGAATTTGGAACATGCTTTCTTATGGATGAGAAGAAGTTTCTATTGATGTGCTCATATAATGCTGTGAAGTCGACATCGCAGGTATGTAATTTTGTATTGAATAGTTATACTATTTCCTCAAGTTTTGTTATGACACATATACCATCATTACATCCCTTACCAGAACGAAAACTAAATTGGGTCGTGAGAATTATTTACATTATTCGGACAGTTATCAACAGAAATAACTGAGACACCCGAAGAGACATGACACGTGGAACTAGAACAATCTACCCCGGTGGACGAAATAAAGTTTTTGGTTCGAAATTCCAGTCACCTGAAGAAGGCCGGAGTGTATAACGACCGAAACATTGTGAATATGGCAATGAAGATGAGGCTAACAGTCTGAATAATGTAAATAATGTAAGTAATCATAATACCTCATCTCACAGATATAGACAGATATGGGTCGTGAGAAGTTGACAGTCATAAAACGATGAGAGCCTAGTTAAGACAATGTTCATTAGTACTTTCACTATAATAAATCCAGTTGAGATACCTCTGTATTTGTGTGAGTCCTGATGACAATCTTTTTTGTTTCCATAATGCATTTAATGCGTGATAAACCCCGCATCTGATTCCAGATTTCATGTAATTGAGAAATTGAACTCGTGGAGAAGGTAAGCTATTTTCAAAAGTTCAACCACCAAAGTCCAGTGATACTTTATTATTCCTTAAATTTTTATAGCTTTCTTAACTTTCTCCTCAGTGGGTCCATTCGTGTCTATGTTTGGGGATGGACTTTGTAATGATTGGATGTACATTGTTAAGTGTTCTATTTCTTCTTGCATTTTTAGTTTAATGTGATCAGGGTTCAAATGTGACTCAAAGTGATTTTTGAGACCAGGACATTTCTTCTGTTTTGCTTTCGATTGTATGGTGTTGTTGTGATTTTTCGCTTTTCTCCACATTTCAACACATTATTTGGTTTCATTAATTCCGTTTCCAATTTTCTCGGAGTATTAACAAGTTTATTTTTTTTATTTCCTTTGTTAATTGTTTGTTATTTTCTCTTCTATGTTTCTTCTTCTTCTGTATATTCCTTTTTTGTATTATTGTTGTCCCACGAGATTACTTTTCCGTTTTGATAATCCTGGATGATCTTACATACTTCGGATAATAACGATATGAAAACATTATTTGATTCTGCTATGTTGTTTTGGTCAAAATTTTGCGACATCAATTTGGACTTTAGTTTATTACAGAATTCTAAGCTTACCCTTTAATTATTAAGAGCTTTGCTGTCGTACCTTTTGTTGTTCATGTTGGTAGAGGCGATTCGTTTTTGGCTGGTGTTGTCAGTTTAGTTACATGTAGTCTGTCATCAGATTCAAAATAGGACTTGTATACTCTAACATCTGCCACAAACTTTCTTAACCAAGAGTCCGAGACGCTGAAGTCAACAATCTATATGGTTCGTGATTTGTGCTATGCTATGTAGTTTAGTGCTTCATCGGATGGTCGCACTATGTGTTTAGGATGGCATATACAAAAGATTTAACAAGACTTCCCCATTGCTGTTTGAGTCTTCTGCTTCTCGGTGTGATGATTTCTTATCATCAAAGGAGCAATTGCGTTCGAAAATAGTAGCATTAAATCCCCATTAACTCAGAGTTTCTGCGTTTTAGTTAATCCTGTGCTTCTAATTATTCAGAAGAGTTGGAAATCTAAGAATGACACATGTATCTAATTCTTCACTGAAGTTGAAAATCAAAGAGCGTCTCATATATGTCATCTTTAACTGAAGTCGGAAACGAAAGAATGACCCATGGGTCTAATTCTTAAATGAAAATGACAAAGAGCGACTCATGTATCCAATTCTTGACCGAAGTTAGAAATAAAAGTGTTATTCTTGCATCTTATGTAGTCATGGAGTGACATATGCCTAAGTGTTAACTGATTTAAGAAATATAAGACCGATTCATGGTTCTAAATCTTAAACGAAATCGAGAATCAAAAAATATTTTCCGATCTAATGTTTAACTAAAACCAAAGACCGACTCTTTTCATTCTTATCTGAGGTCAGAAATCAATGATTAGCTCATATTTCTAAATCTTAATTGAAATCAAGAACAAAGAACGATTCTTGCATTTAATTCTTAACCGAATCTGAAATCAAAGAATGTCCAATGTAACAAATTCTTACATGTACTTGAGAGTGAAAGAACGACTCTTGTATCCGGTTCTTAACTGATGTCAGTCCACATCACGAAGCTTTTTAGTCCTCCATCAGCATGGCTGATGCTAACCTCCAGACGATTAACGTAATGTGCCTTCTCGGTTTTACATTTTCTGGTTACATAAAGTGGAACGACTATATCGAATCAGTTTTTAGGTTTGCTGCTAGAAAAGTTGGCTCACTGTGGCGAGTTAGATAATTTTTCTCGCCAGAAGAAAATCATAAGTCTACACATTTATAAGTCTACCATTCATCCGTGCACTGAATATTGCTGCAACATCTGGTCTGGCTCTTCTGCTGTGTATCTAGAAATTCTTGACAAAATACAAAGAAGAATTTGCAATGTCATTGTTCCTGACCTGGCATCTCGACTTCAGTCACTTTCTCATCGTAAGTTATAGTCTAATAGTTTTGTATCTGTTTATATTTCTGAGATGAGGCATTGTAA